GGAGAAGGGGATGGAATGAGGAGAAGGGATGGAATCTGGGAGAAGGGGATGGAATCTGGGAGAAGGGGATGGAATCTGGAGAAGGGGGGTGGAATCTGGGAGAAGGGGATGGAATCTGGGAGAAGGGATGGAATCTGGGAGAAGGGGATGGAATCTGGGAGAAGGGATGGAATCTGGGAGAAGGGGATGGAATCTGGGAGAAGGGGATGGAATCTGGGAGAAGGGGATGGAATCTGGGAAAAGGGATGGATCTGGGAGAAGGGGATGAATCTGGGAGAAGGGATGGAATCTGGAGAAGGGGATGGAATCTGGGAGAAGGGGATGGAATCGGGAGAAGGGGATGGAATCTGGGAGAAGGGGATGGAATCTGGGAGAAGGGGATGGAATCTGGGAGAAGGGGATGGAATCTGGAGAAGGGGATGGAATCTGGGAGAAGGGGATGGAATCTGGGAGAAGGGGATGGAATCTGGGAGAAGGGGATGGAATCTGGGAGAAGGGGATGGAATCTGGGAGAAGGGGATGGAATCTGGGAGAAGGGGATGAATCTGAGAAGGGGATGGAATCTGGGAGAAGGGGATGGAATCTGGGAGAAGGGGATGGAATCTGGGAGAAGGGGATGGAATCTGGGAGAAGGGGATGGAATCTGGGAGAAGGGATGGAATCTGGGAGAAGGGGATGGAATCTGGGAGAAGGGGATGGAATCTGGGAGAAGGGATGGAATCTGGGAGAAGGGGATGGAATCTGGGAGAAGGGATGGAATCTGGGAGAAGGGATGGAATCTGGGAGAAGGGGATGGAATCTGGGAGAAGGGATGGAATCTGGGAGAAGGGGATGGAATCAGGGAGAAGGGGATGGAATCTGGGAGAAGGGGATGGAATCTGGGAGAAGGGGATGGAATCTGGGAGAAGGGGATGGAATCAGGGAGAAGGGGATGGAATCTGGGAGAAGGGGATGGAATCTGGGAGAAGGGGATGGAATCTGGGAAAGGGGATGGAATCTGGGAGAAGGGATGGAATCTGGGAGAAGGGGATGGAATCTGGGAGAAGGGGATGGAATCTGGGAGAAGGGGATGGAATCTGGGAGAAGGGGATGGAATCTGGAGAAGGGGATGGAATCTGGGAGAAGGGGATGGAATCTGGAGAAGGGGATGGAATCTGGGAGAAGGGATGGAATCTGGGAGAAGGGGATGGAATCTGGGAGAAGGGGATGGAATCTGGGAGAAGGGATGGAATCTGGGAGAAGGGGATGGAATCTGGGAAGGGATGGAATCTGGGAGAAGGGATGGAATCTGGGAGAAGGGGATGGAATCTGGGAGAAGGGGATGGAATCTGGGAGAAGGGGATGGAATCTGGGAGAAGGGGATGGAATCTGGGAGAAGGGGATGGAATCTGGGAGAAGGGGATGGAATCTGGGAGAAGGGGATGGAATCTGGGAGAAGGGGATGGAATCTGGGAGAAGGGGATGAATCTGGGAGAAGGGGATGGAATCTGGGAGAAGGGGATGGAATCTGGGAGAAGGGGATGGAATGGGGAAAAAGGATGGAATCTGGGAGAAGGGATGGAATCTGGAGAAGGGGGATGGAATCTGGGAGAAGGGGATGGAATCTGGGAGAAGGGGATGGAATCTGGGAGAAGGGGATGGAATCTGGAGAGAAGGGGATGGAATCTGGGAGAAGGGGATGGAATCTGGAGAAGGGGATGGAATCTGGGAGAAGGGGATGGAATCTGGGAGAGGGGATGGAATCTGGGAGAAGGGGATGGAATCTGGGAGAGGGATGGAATCTGGGAGAAGGGATGGAATCTGGGAGAAGGGATGGAATCTGAGAAGGGGATGGAATCTGGGAGAAGGGATGGAATCTGGGAGAAGGGGATGGAATCTGGGAGAAGGGGATGGAATCTGGGAGAAGGGATGGAATCTGGGAGAAGGGGATGGAATCTGGGAGAAGGGGATGGAATCTGGAGAAGGGGATGGAATGGGAGAAGGGGATGGAATCTGGAGAAGGGGATGGAATCTGGGAGAAGGGGATGGAATCTGGGAGAAGGGGATGGAATCTGGGAGAAGGGGATGGAATCTGGGAGAAGGGGATGGAATCTGGGAGAAGGGGATGGAATCTGGGAGAAGGGGATGGAATCGGGAGAAGGGATGGAATCTTGGAGAAGGGGATGGAATCTGGGAGAAGGGGATGGAATCTGGGAGAAGGGGATGGAATCTGGGAGAAGGGGATGGAATCTGGGAGAAGGGGATGGAATCTGGGAGAAGGGGATGGAATCTGGGAGAAGGGGATGGAATCTGGAGAAGGGGATGGAATCTGGGAGAAGGGGATGGAATCTGGGAGAAGGGGATGGAATCGGGAGAAGGGATGGAATCAGGGAGAAGGGGGGGGGGGGAGGGGGAGGGGGAGGGGGGTGGAATCTGGAAAAGGGGATGGGGGGAGAGGGGGAGAAGGGGGGGGAATCTGGGGGAGGGGGGGGAGGAAAAGAGAAAGGGGATGGATCTGGGAGAAGGGGATGGAATCTGGAGAAGGGGATGGAATCTGGGAGAAGGGGATGGAATCTGGGAGAAGGGGATGGAATCTGGAGAAGGGGATGGAATCTGGGAGAAGGGGATGGAATCTGGGAGAAGGGGATGGAATCTGGGAGAAGGGGATGGAATCTGGGAGAAGGGATGGAATCTGGGAGAAGGGGATGGAATCTGGGAGAAGGGGATGGAATCTGGAGAAGGGGATGGAATCTGGGAGAAGGGGATGGAATCTGGGAGAAGGGGATGGAATCTGGGAGAAGGGGATGGAATCTGGGAGAAGGGATGGAATCTGGGAGAAGGGATGGAATCTGGGAGAAGGGATGGAATCTGGGAGAAGGGGATGGAATCTGGGAGAAGGGGATGGAATCTGGAGAAGGGATGGAATCTGGGAGAAGGGGATGGAATCTGGGAGAAGGGGATGAATCTGGGAGAAGGGGATGGAATCTGGGAGAAGGGGATGGAATCTGGAGAAGGGGATGGAATCTGGGAGAAGGGGATGGAATCTGGAGAAGGGATGGAATCTGGGAGAAGGGGATGGAATCTGGGAGAAGGGATGGAATCTGGGAGAAGGGGATGGAATCTGGGAGAAGGGATGGAATCTGGGAGAAGGGGATGGAATCTGGAGAAGGGGTGGAATCTGGAGAAGGGGATGGAATCTGGGAGAAGGGGATGGAATCTGGAGAAGGGGATGGAATCTGGGAGAAGGGGATGGAATCTGGGAGAAGGGGATGGAATCTGGGAGAAGGGGATGGAATCTGGGAGAAGGGGATGGAATCTGGGAGAAGGGGATGGAATCTGGGAGAAGGGGATGGAATCGGGGAGAAGGGATGGAATCTGGAGAAGGGGATGGAATCTGGGAGAAGGGGATGGAATCTGGGAGAAGGGATGGAATCTGGGAGAAGGGGATGGAATCTGGGAGAAGGGGATGGAATCTGGGAGAAGGGGATGGAATCTGGAGAAGGGGATGGAATCTGGGAGAAGGGGATGGAATCTGGAGAAGGGGATGGAATCTGGGAGAAGGGATGGAATCTGGGAGAGGGGATGGAATCTGGGAGAAGGGGATGGAATCTGGGAGAAGGGGATGGAATCTGGGAGAAGGGGATGGAATCTGGGAGAAGGGGATGGAATCTGGGAGAAGGGGATGGAATCTGGGAGAAGGGGATGGAATCTGGGAGAAGGGGATGGAATCTGGGAGAAGGGGATGGAATCTGGGAGAAGGGGATGGAATCTGGAGAAGGGATGGAATCTGGGAGAAGGGGATGGAATCTGGGAGAAGGGGATGGAATCTGGGAGAAGGGGATGGAATCTGGGAGAAGGGGATGGAATCTGGGAGAAGGGGATGGAATCTGGGAGAAGGGATGGAATCTGGGAGAAGGGGATGGAATCTGGGAGAAGGGGATGGAATCGGGAGAAGGGGATGGAATCTGGGAGAAGGGGATGGAATCTGGGAGAAGGGGATGGAATCTGGGAGAAGGGGATGGAATCTGGAGAAGGGATGGAATCTGGGAGAAGGGGATGGAATCTGGGAGAAGGGGATGGAATCTGGGAGAAGGGGATGGAATCTGGGAGAAGGGGATGGAATCTGGGAGAAGGGGATGGAATCTGGGAGAGGGGAAATGGGGGAGGGGATGGAATCTGGGAGAAGGGGATGGAATCTGGGAGAAGGGGATGGAATCTGGGAGAAGGGGATGGAATCTGGGAGAAGGGGATGGAATCTGGGAGAAGGGGATGGAATCTGGGAGAAGGGGATGGAATCTGGGAGAAGGGGATGGAATCTGGAGAAGGGGATGGAATCTGGGAGAAGGGGATGGAATCTGGAGAAGGGGATGGAATCTGGAGAAGGGGATGGAATCTGGGAGAAGGGGATGGAATCTGGAGAAGGGGATGGAATCTGGGAGAAGGGGATGGAATCTGGGAGAAGGGGATGGAATCTGGGAGAAGGGATGGAATCTGGAGAAGGGGATGAATCTGGGAGAAGGGATGGAATCTGGGAGAAGGGGATGGAATCTGGGAGAAGGGGATGGAATCTGGGAGAAGGGGATGGAATCTGGGAGAAGGGGATGGAATCTGGGAGAAGGGGATGGAATCTGGGAGAAGGGGATGGAATCTGGGAGAAGGGGGTGGAATCTGGGAGAAGGGGATGGAATCTGGGAGAAGGGGATGGAATCTGGGAGAAGGGGATGGAATCTGGGGGGGGGAATCTGGAGAAGGGGATGGAATCTGGGAGAAGGGGATGGAATCTGGGAGAAGGGGATGGAATCTGGGAGAAGGGGATGGAATCTGGGAGAAGGGGATGGAATCTGGGAGAAGGGGATGGAATCTGGGAGAAGGGGATGGAATCTGGGAGAAGGGGATGGAATCTGGGAGAAGGGGATGGAATCTGGAGAAGGGATGGAATCTGGGAGAAGGGGATGGAATCTGGAGAAGGGGATGGAATCTGGGAAAGGGGATGGAATCTGGGAGAAGGGATGGAATCTGGGAGAAGGGGATGGAATCTGGGAGAAGGGGATGGAATCTGGGAGAAGGGGATGGAATCTGGGAGAAGGGGATGGAATCTGGGAGAAGGGGATGGAATCTGGGAGAAGGGGATGGAATCTGGGAGAAGGGGATGGAATCTGGAGAAGGGGATGGAATCTGGGAGAAGGGGATGGAATCTGGGAGAAGGGATGGAATCTGGAGAAGGGGATGGAATCTGGGAGAAGGGGATGGAATCTGGGAGAAGGGGATGGAATCTGGGAGAAGGGGATGGAATCTGGGAGAAGGGGATGGAATCTGGAGAAGGGGATGAATCTGGGAGAAGGGGATGGAATCTGGGAGAAGGGGATGGAATCTGGGAGAAGGGGATGGAATCTGGAGAAGGGATGGAATCTGGGAGAAGGGGATGGAATCTGGGAGAAGGGATGATCTGGGAGAAGGGGATGGAATCTGGGAGAAGGGGATGGAATCTGGGGAAGGGTGGAATCTGGGAAAGGGGATGGAATCTGGGAGAAGGGGATGGAATCTGGAGAAGGGGATGGAATCTGGGAGAAGGGGATGGAATCTGGAAGAAGGGGATGGAATCTGGGAGAAGGGATGGAATCTGGGAGAAGGGGATGGAATCTGGGAGAAGGGGATGGAATCTGGGAGAAGGGGATGGAATCTGGAAAAGGGGATGGAATCTGGAGAAGGGGATGGAATCTGGGAGAAGGGATGGAATCTGGGAGAAGGGGATGGAATCTGGGAGAAGGGGATGGAATCTGGGAGAAGGGGATGGAATCTGGAGAAGGGATGGAATCTGGGAGAAGGGGATGGAATCTGGAGAAGGGGATGGAATCTGGGAGAAGGGGATGGAATCTGGAGAAGGGGATGGAATCTGGGAGAAGGGGATGGAATCTGGGAGAAGGGGATGGAATCTGGGAGAAGGGGATGGAATCTGGGAGAAGGGATGGAATCTGGGAGAAGGGGATGGAATCTGGGAGAAGGGGATGGAATCTGGGAGAAGGGGATGGAATCTGGGAGAAGGGGATGGAATCTGGGAGAAGGGGATGGAATCTGGGAGAAGGGGATGGAAATGGGAGAAAGGGATGGAATCTGGGAGAAGGGGATGGAATCTGGGAGAAGGGGATGGAATCTGGGAGAAGGGGATGGAATCTGGGAGAAGGGGATGGAATCTGGGAGAAGGGATGGAATCTGGGAGAAGGGGATGGAATCTGGGAGAAGGGGATGGAATCGGGAGAAGGGGATGGAATCTGGGAGAAGGGGATGGAATCTGGGAGAAGGGGATGGAATCTGGGAGAAGGGATGGAATCTGGAGAAGGGATGGAATCTGGGAGAAGGGGATGGAATCTGGGAGAAGGGGATGGAATCTGGGAGAAGGGGATGGAATCTGGGAGAAGGGGATGGAATCTGGGAGAAGGGGATGGAATCTGGGAGAAGGGGATGGAATCTGGAGAAGGGGATGGAATCTGGGAGAAGGGGATGGAATCTGGGAGAAGGGGATGGAATCTGGAGAAGGGGATGGAATCTGGGGAGGGGATGGAATCTGGGAGAAGGGGATGGAATCTGGGAGAAGGGGATGGAATCTGGGAGAAGGGGATGGAATCTGGGAGAAGGGGATGGAATCTGGGAGAAGGGGATGGAATCTGGGAGAAGGGATGGAATCTGGGAGAAGGGGATGGAATCTGGGAGAAGGGGATGGAATCTGGGAGAAGGGGATGGAATCTGGGAGAAGGGGATGGAATCGGGAGAAGGGGATGGAATCTGGGAGAAGGGATGGAATCTGGGAGAAGGGGATGGAATCTGGGAGAAGGGGATGGAATCTGGGAGAAGGGGATGGAATCTGGGAGAAGGGATGGAATCTGGGGAGAAGGGATGGAATCTGGGAGAAGGGGATGGAATCTGGGAGAAGGGGATGGAATCTGGGAGAAGGGATGGAATCTGGAGAAGGGGATGGAATCTGGGAGAAGGGATGGAATCTGGAGAAGGGGATGGAATCTGGGAGAAGGGGATGGAATCTGGGAGAAGGTGGAATCTGGGAGAAGGGGATGGAATCTGGGAGAAGGGGATGGAATCTGGGAGAAGGGGATGGAATCTGGGAGAAGGGGATGGAATCTGGGAGAAGGGGATGGAATCTGGGAGAAGGGGATGGAATCTGGAGAAGGGGATGGAATCTGGGAGAAGGGGATGGAATCTGGGAGAAGGGGATGGAATCTGGGAGAAGGGGATGGAATCTGGGAGAAGGGGATGGAATCTGGGAGAAGGGATGGAATCTGGGAGAAGGGGATGGAATCTGGAGAAGGGGATGGAATCTGGGAGAAGGGGATGGAATCTGGGAGAAGGGGATGGAATCTGGAGAAGGGGATGGAATCTGGGAGAAGGGGATGGAATCTGGGAGAAGGGGATGGAATCTGGGAGAAGGGGATGGAATCTGGGAGAAGGGGATGGAATCTGGGAGAGGGGATGGAATCTGGGAGAAGGGGATGGAATCTGGGAGAAGGGGATGGAATCTGGAGAAGGGGATGGAATCTGGGAGAAGGGGATGGAATCTGGGAGAAGGGGATGGAATCTGGGAGAAGGGATGGAATCTGGGAGAAGGGGATGGAATCTGGGAGAAGGGATGGAATCTGGGAGAAGGGATGGAATCTGGGAGAAGGGGATGGAATCTGGGAGAAGGGGATGGAATCTGGGAGAAGGGATGGAATCGGGAGAAGGGGATGGAATCTGGGAGAAGGGGATGGAATCTGGGAGAAGGGGATGGAATCTGGGAGAAGGGGATGGAATCTGGGAGAAGGGGATGGAATCTGGGAGAAGGGGATGGAATCTGGGAGAAGGGGATGGAATCTGGGAGAAGGGGGATGGAATCTGGGAGAAGGGATGGAATCTGGGAGAAGGGGATGGAATCTGGGAGAAGGGATGGAATCTGGGAGAAGGGGATGGAATCTGGAGAAGGGATGGAATCTGGGAGAAGGGGATGGAATCTGGGAGAAGGGGATGGAATCTGGGAGAAGGGGATGGAATCTGGGAGAAGGGGATGGAATCTGGGAGAAGGGGATGGAATCTGGAGAAGGGGATGGAATCTGGGAGAAGGGGATGGAATCTGGGAGAAGGGGATGGAATCTGGAGAAGGGGATGGAATCTGGGAGAAGGGGATGGAATCTGGAGAAGGGGATGGAATCTGGGAGAAGGGGATGGAATCTGGGAGAAGGGGATGGAATCTGGGAGAAGGGGATGGAATCTGGGAGAAGGGGATGGAATCTGGGAGAAGGGGATGGAATCTGGGAGAAGGGGATGGAATCTGGGAGAAGGGGATGGAATCTGGGAGAAGGGGATGGAATCTGGGAGAAGGGATGGAATCTGGGAGAAGGGGATGGAATCTGGGAGAAGGGGATGGAATCTGGGAGAAGGGGATGGAATCTGGGAGAAGGGGATGGAATCTGGGAGAAGGGATGGAATCTGGGAGAAGGGGATGGAATCTGGGAGAAGGGGATGGAATCTGGGAGAAGGGGATGGAATCTGGAGAAGGGGATGGAATCTGGAGAAGGGGATGGAATCTGGGAGAAGGGGATGGAATCTGGGAGAAGGGGATGGAATCTGGGAGAAGGGGATGGAATCTGGGAGAAGGGGATGGAATCTGGGAGAAGGGATGGAATCTGGGAGAAGGGATGGAATCTGGGAGAAGGGGATGGAATCTGGGAGAAGGGGATGGAATCTGGGAGAAGGGATGGAATCTGGGAGAAGGGGATGGAATCTGGGAGAAGGGGATGGAATCTGGGAGAAGGGGATGGAATCTGGGAGAAGGGGATGGAATCTGGGAGAAGGGGATGGAATCTGGGAGAAGGGATGGAATCTGGGAGAAGGGGATGGAATCTGGGAGAAGGGGATGGAATCTGGAGAAGGGGATGGAATCTGGGAGAAGGGGATGGAATCTGGGAGAAGGGGATGGAATCTGGGAGAAGGGATGGAATCTGGGAGAAGGGGATGGAATCTGGGAGAAGGGGATGGAATCTGGGAGAAGGGGATGGAATCTGGGAGAAGGGGATGGAATCTGGGAGAAGGGGATGGAATCTGGGAGAAGGGGATGGAATCTGGGAGAAGGGGATGGAATCTGGGAGAAGGGGATGGAATCTGGGAGAAGGGGATGGAATCTGGGAGAAGGGGATGGAATCTGGGAGAAGGGGATGGAATCTGGGAGAAGGGGATGGAATCTGGGAGAAGGGGATGGAATCTGGAGAAGGGGATGGAATCTGGGAGAAGGGGATGGAATCTGGGAGAAGGGGATGGAATCTGGGAGAAGGGGATGGAATCTGGGAGAAGGGGATGGAATCTGGGAGAAGGGGATGGAATCTGGGAGAAGGGGATGGAATCTGGGAGAAGGGGATGGAATCTGGGAGAAGGGGATGGAATCTGGGAGAAGGGGATGGAATCTGGGAGAAGGGGATGGAATCTGGGAGAAGGGGATGGAATCTGGGAGAAGGGGATGGAATCTGGGAGAAGGGGATGGAATCTGGGAGAAGGGGATGGAATCTGGGAGAAGGGGATGGAATCTGGAGAAGGGGATGGAATCTGGGAGAAGGGGATGGAATCTGGGAGAAGGGGATGGAATCTGGGAGAAGGGGATGGAATCTGGAGAAGGGGATGGAATCTGGGAGAAGGGGATGGAATCTGGGAGAAGGGGATGGAATCTGGGAGAAGGGGATGGAATCTGGGAGAAGGGGATGGAATCTGGGAGAAGGGGATGGAATCTGGGAGAAGGGGATGGAATCTGGGAGAAGGGGATGGAATCTGGGAGAAGGGATGGAATCTGGAGAAGGGGATGGAATCTGGGAGAAGGGGATGGAATCTGGGAGAAGGGGATGGAATCTGGGAGAAGGGGATGGAATCTGGGAGAAGGGGATGGAATCTGGAGAAGGGGATGGAATCTGGGAGAAGGGGATGGAATCTGGGAGAAGGGGATGGAATCTGGGAGAAGGGGATGGAATCTGGGAGAAGGGGATGGAATCTGGGGAAGGGGATGGAATCTGGGAGAAGGGGATGGAATCTGGGAGAAGGGGATGGAATCTGGGAGAAGGGGATGGAATCTGGGAGAAGGGGATGGAATCTGGGAGAAGGGATGGAATCTGGGAGAAGGGGATGGAATCTGGGAGAAGGGGATGGAATCTGGGAGAAGGGGATGGAATCTGGGAGAAGGGGATGGAATCTGGGAGAAGGGGATGGAATCTGGGAGAAGGGGATGGAATCTGGGAGAAGGGGATGGAATCTGGGAGAAGGGGATGGAATCTGGGAGAAGGGGATGGAATCTGGGAGAAGGGGATGGAATCTGGGAGAAGGGGATGGAATCTGGGAGAAGGGGATGGAATCTGGGAGAAGGGGATGGAATCTGGGAGAAGGGGATGGAATCTGGGAGAAGGGGATGGAATCTGGGAGAA